TCTCAAGGCTTCTACACGGGTCAGGAACGAAGAGGATTTCCAACAGTTTTGCAGACTTTCATCAACGGCTGCTTCCTTCGCTGGCTCCATACTGAAGATCAGTTGGCCAGAAAGAATTAGTAAAAAAAAAACTCTGGCTGGGAACAAACCGACCGATTGTTCAAAAAATTTGTCGGAGAAAATGGAGATGGATAGGGCACACGTTGAGGAGACCGTCCAATGACATCACGCCCCAGGCCGTCGTTCGAGTGGAATCCAAATGGGAAAAGTGACGAGTGGGTCGTGCAAAGGTGATATGAAGGAGATCGTTCGATGAGGAGGTGAGAGATTACGGGCAGTTGTGGACCCAGCTGAAGAGTACAACAGAGAATAGAAGTGGAGATGTGTTACTGAAGCCGTATGTTCCAGTGGGAACCCCAAGGAACAATAATAATTGTATTGTATATTATTCCCTTGGGTTCTGATTGGAACAATGTTGGACTCCGTTTAAAACATATCGGTTAATTGACTGACTGACTTTACAGAAGGCTTTCAACAACCGCCGAATTTTCCCCCCCTGTGTTTTGAAGTTTCTGTAGTGACTGGATTGATTTTTCGGAATACGGCGAAAAAGCTCCTCGCCCCATCTTCCCTACTCTTTTTCTCTGTTTAGCACCTGCTAGTAAACTTTAGTGTGTCGGTGGCACACCGGTTAGGACTCTCGTTGACCATGCACATAGTCCAGGGTTCGATCCCCTGCCGACGTACACCTGATATCTATGATGGGCCTGCAAAATTGGGCTACCGATATCACATGCTAAGAATTCCATACTTGTACCAAAAATACGGCGTGGAATCAAGCTCTAATGAAAACAACAACCTTAGACTACTTTCTGAACAGTTCTCGACAATATGATTTACCTCCCTAAACGCCTTACTGTACTCCACTCTGTCCTTTTTTTTGTGCTCCGTTTTTGTATAATAGTCTCAGTGGTATGATCATACATCCTGTCATAAATCAGTTGGAGTGGAAATTTCTTTTTCGGTTACTTGCACACAGACGCAGTAAGACAATCAGAGTAATGTCCCACCTTGACTCCGTTGACACAGTCATGTATTTTTTCAGGATATATCGCTTTTGTTTCCTGTCAACTCTATTGATCTGTTGGTAGTAAGACGTTAGTTGTTCCCATCCACTTGATACTTGCTTATCTGAAGCAGGTTGCTAACTAACTCTTCACCTTCAAAACACAAAACCTGGTCTGTTGCTGCCGTTTATGATTCTCCTTTTTCAAAAAAAATTACTTCTGCTCATTGGTCGAGAGTTGCAAAGGTATTCAAGCATGTCATGTGCTCTATCATTAGCAAAAGATATCAGTACTTATGTGCTTCTACATAATTAGCTTTCAGTATACAGTTTCTTGTGTTGACTTATAGTTTTTATGGTACTATAAAGCCTACATCAATACATAATTGCCCCAGATTTTAAATCATTGTGATAGCAGATAAGTTTTATCCCACTTCTGTTTAGAATGTAAGTCATCTGGTGTTTTTGTTTTCTCTAAATGGGTGCTCACTCAAAGTCGACTGTGTAGTATGTGTCAAAATCAGGTTGCACCAAGGAGAAAGTGGAGTTCTAGAAATTGTTTGACTAAGAATACCTTGTATATTGAGGCAATTAATGGTAGTATAAATATTAATTAGAATTATTCTTTGGCCATTAAACTAGAATATGGCATCAGTCAACGGAATGCATAACAGCTAGTTTAAGCCACCTAGGAAGGTGTAGACTTCCTGGTTGATGGGGGATTGTCGGCATGGTAAAACCCAGTGGTTGGAGGTTATCGGAGATATGGTTCAAAGTCGTTCTCAATGGCTGACGCAGATGTATTCACTTTTTCTAATTTTCCATATCTACCTAGTAAACCCTAATCTTTCCCAATGTTGCTGTTCATCAGTTTCCCCAATAGTCGCTGACTTTTCCATGAATAGATTCGAAGATAACAACTTTTCAAGCATACTCACTCCGTAAATATGGTTCAGATATGTAGATGATACTTTTGTATTGCTCAAACGAGGTCTACACAGTTCATTCCTGAAGAAAATAAATTGTGTATCTCCTAGAATCCAGTTTACTTCGGAAGCAGAATTAGACGTCGGTGAACTACTATTTCTAGACTGCCTAGTTAAGAGAAAGGAAAACGGACATTGCAGTATATCCATATTCAGGAAGAAAAATCCACTCCAATAAATATTTAGACTTCAAATCATCACACCCCATCAGCGCAAAGATTTCAGTTGTTTCAAGTCTTCTTAGACGAGCACACTCCCTGATAACAGATGAGCAAGAAAAAGAAGAAGAAATATCAAACATTACTGAAACTCTCAAGCAAAACAACTACCCGAGAAACTTCAACAAAATCAATACTGACACTAAGTATGGTCGATAAAGCATTCCGAAAACATGGACCTCAAGACATTTATAAAGTTATATTTGTAAAATCTCAGCGAAATTGAAATGATTAATTCTAACGTTTCGTTCGGCAATCTGGTCTGAACTTCTTAAGGGAAATTAATCGAAATTAACATAACAAAGGTTTATATATAAAAGGGACATCTCTTGTTTTTTAAAACTTTATCCAATCATGAGCCATGCAACAGGTATCAACATGCAACTATTCGGTCAAATCTTAATCACAGTTCATACGGACCTCAAGAGTTGTCATTCCATATAGAGCAGAGACGTCAAACGATATCAGAAGAGTACTCAATTACCTCCACATCAGATTTTTATTTCCAAAACATCAGACACACTGCAAAGTAACCTTGTCCATATAAAAGACCAAATTCCTGAAGATTCTCTATCTAATTGTGTCTATAAAATAAAATGCTTGGAATGTGATGCGATATACATTGGACAAACATCGCTAGAGAGAAATCAAAATCAGAAGAAACGAACACCGTAGACCATCTGTTCGACCACCGAGAAGTAAATCCTGTTGAACTAGCAAAGCTTGAAAAGTCATGAGCCATATGTCTACACATTTATAGAATCAGGCCACAAAAGTGATTTTGACAATATTGAAATAATCCAGAAAAAGCATTTGAGAAATCACAAAAAACGTCTAATATCATAAGCACTTCATATCAAGTGGAATTCAAATTGTCTGAACAGGAATGAGAGACTAAACCAGAATTTGACTTGGTTACAACACCCATCTCCCGGATGAAGTGACAAAATCGACACGAATGTGATAAGCAATTTCATTATGCAAACACACGCTGTTTTATAATTTTACACACTTATCAAATCCAAGAATCTACACCTGGTTTTGTTATCTTTACCGATTTCCCAATTTGACAGCGGAAAAGTCACCCCATACTGATGAACGATGGTTAAGTTGTTATATATCAGCTGAGTGGATTTTGTAAATTCTGGATTAGTAGCACTTTGATAAAACTATTAGCGTTAAGTAGCGAAACGTCAGTAAAAGCGACAATATCGTTTTGTTTTTCATTCGTTCATTGGGAAATACAAGAAAACCTTTTATTGTAATGAATATCATATACCCAATGCCCAAATTTTTTCAAACTCAAAAGTGACCTTGGTTTGGGCATATATAAGATAGTGTTCACTCCTTCTCACATTTCTGCTCAGTACAACTCTTTGGTTTGTACTGCCAATATTACGAAATATTTTATTTATATTGGGAGTGGTTGTTTCTTCCTAATATCCTTGGCGGCCTGCTTGAAACTCGGGCTGCCAAAAACAACCCCCATCAATATATTGCATATAATTCCTCTTATCCAGTTTGTTTAAATCTAGTAAAACATGGCCTTTAACAGCACTGTTTACTCTGGCGCGAGAATTTAAAAACGCTTACAACCTGCTGTAATTTACAAGTTTCTGCTAAATATATGAAAAAGCATAGCCCTCGATTGCAGCTTGTACCAGTATATGAGACTACTGTTCCTGAGCGGTGTCCTTTGTCTACAAAGTGCACTCCTGAAGTTTTTATAATTTTTCAAACTAATGATTACTGAACAAAGAATACTCTTTTCGATAACTTCATTACCAGGTTCTACAGTTATAGATACACTATAGTGAATGAATTAGTGTTATGAACAACATTAATGCTGTTTTAATAACATCGAATCAATAATACTGATAGATTACACTTTGATAGTATCAACATAACAATACACTGAATGTCATAAAAGTTACGAAAGGTAATAACACTAATTCATGAATTTATAGTCTCCACTGAAGCCCGGCCAGGGCAGTAGGAGTGTCTGGACCTGCTTCTTTCGCGCACAAACCTGTAGTTGTTTCATGCGAATCGCGATAGCCTCTGGTGTTTTGGAGTATGCGGTACCTGGCTGTTTTTTGGCAATTTATTTCGTGCCCGGTAGATGATGTTAGAGAAGGACTCGTCAATTCTGGCCTTGTAGCACTCAACCAAAATGTCGACGTGTGTTTCTCGAAGCATGAAAAGAAGAAACATCATAATGATGGATTAGTTTGCGCTTCAGATCAGAAAGAATTGTGTCATACAGTCTACTGTCAATTAAAATCTTATTTGGAGATCTTGGACGACGAGAATATATCGTAAAGTAAACCACACTGAAAATTCTGTACATTATAATAGACATGTGCGTCAGTGGCACAGCGGTCAGGACGCTCGCCAACCATGCACATGGTCCGGGTTTCGATCCCCGGCCACAGACTCGCTCCTTTACCTCGCTAAGCCAGAATAATCCTGGTAAAGAGGAAAGGTTGGGCATGAGACTAGGAACCCCTTCCTGTAAAATTGAAGACTGCTACAGAAACTTCAAGCCACTAGCTTGAGGCCCCATGTTCCACTGGGAACGTGAAGGAAAAAGAAATAATAATAAACACTGTTCAGAATAAAGCGATTATCACTATTATTATTAGTTCCTGCATTTGTATCAAGATATATCAATGAATCTTAACATTTCTCTACTGTAATCTGCATATATATGTATATTTATATATTTAGGTGATTGAAGGCGCTGGACATCAAGTCTATGCACAAATGTCAGAAGAATTCAATGCTTATGTAAATAAAATTGGACAACGTGTTGACAATAATGATCCATTCACTCCAGGTGATTATTGTCCACCTGTAAATAATTCTAAGCAGATGAACAATCCGAATGAAAACACAAATTCTCCAACTGATAATAGCAATCGTTCAACTAAAGGACATAATGGTCGAATTCGTCGTAAACGATCCTCTGTCGCACTGGTCACTCAAGATACATCGTCACATCTATATGGACGTTTAAATCACAACGGTAATTCAGATGCTAAAAATGTAGAGAAAGATGCAGAAGCCAGTGATGAAGCCTCTGATTGATTAAAAACACACAACCACCGGTTCTGATTTCATCATATCTTCAGATTTATTCACGCATACACACACACACACACTGTGTACATTGCTTTCTCTGGCCTGTTACTTTTCTAACTTACTAAACAGAGTTTCTTAAAGTGGCTTAACGCTTCCGCTTACCTTGATGATAACCAAACAACCGAGCCTGACTGATTAACTTAGTAGTAGTGTGTAGTCTTTCCTCACTGCTTACATATGAAGCACACATACAATATATATAAATGTACAACGTTCGATTCTATTCGTATGCTTGCGCTCTGTGTTTAATTTATAATAATAAAAATATTTTTACCTAATATTAGCTTTTATTCACTCAGTAACAGCTTCAAAATAATTTTATTGTTGCTGCGTTTCTTTTATTTTCTTTTTTGTTTTTTAATAAAAAACCATTTGCGGTTATTTCAAACTGGCTTTCAATATTTTACACAAAATCATACAGATTATTGTTATTATTACTATTATCTCTATTTAAGAAAAGATTTTAATATTTCGGTTAATTTTTTTAATATTTAATATGCTATTTACTGTAGTAGATGCGCGCTTATTATGAAAAAAGGCAAGACGGTGTTGATTAGAGAACACAATTAAATTCTCTCACCCCCTGTAAACTGTTATTTTCCTCTCCTCATTTTTTTGTTTTTTGTAATTTTATTCAGAGAAACAAAACACACACACACAAACATACGTTGTCTTTCCAGGCTATATATAGTTTTTCTCCAGATGCCTTTTGAAACATGATCTTTTGATCATTGTGTTTTTCAAAAAACATTCCACTATTGAATATAATATAATATGGACCAATATAATATATGTGGACCAATGAAACCCCCTCCGACCCCTGACCCCCACTCACCCACGCACTCTCCCCAGGTACGGGAGAAAATTACACTTCCAGTTTCTAATTTTTTGTTTTAAAAAAAGAAAATTTCACTTCAATACTTTTATTGTTTCCCCCCAACCCTCTCATTATTCGATGTCTTTTACTATTATTATTATGATGATGATGAAGGCTATTCGATTATTTTATTTTTATTTCTTTCAATTTTATTCGACAGTTCTTATATGATTGTACACTTGGTTCCTTTTAGTTTTGTGCGAATTGAGACTAGTAAAAAATATTCAGCTTTGAATACATATACATATATACCCTCAGTGATATAGATTGTTTATCAATAAAAAAAATTGTTAGCTTGCTCTGGAATATTACCTGAAGTGTTTTTTGAAATCCGTCTCATTGTCTGTCTGTCTGTCTCTCTGTCTATCTATTGTCATGCTTTCAACGATGGTAGTTAGGCTGCGTTTGGTTTGTGTGTGTGTGTGTTTCGTGAAAGTTAACTCTGATAAAGTATTCAAAACAATCAGGCACCAGAACAGAGGGTCCTGCCTGATCCTATATTTATTATTATTATTGTTCCCTTGGGTTCCTAGTGGAACATAGGGCTTCAACTGCACGTCTCCACTTGCTTCTGTCTTCCTTCTGCTGTACTTTTCACCTGCATCCATGTTAGTCCATACTGTTTCAACTCCTCTTCACACGATCTCCTCCATGTCACCCTTGCTCTGACGTCCCATTCACCGCTTCCCTTTCGGGTTCCACTCGAGCATTGGCCAGAGGCGCGATGTCACCCAGTGGCGGCCTCCTCAGGGAGTGTCCAAGCCTGATTCTGTGATGAGATTAATTTCAGTTTCTTTAATAAGCTGTAATTAGAATAACTTTCGAACAACTGTGTGGGGCGCTTAACTTTCAAAACGAGTGGATCAGTGGCTAGAACCCTGTTCCAGTCAGTAAACCTTAGGCAATTCCCGGGTGATAGTAGCGTAACAACAGAAGACAAGGGCCGGCAACAGATCGTTTTGTTACGGTAATCAACGCGTATTTATATATATTTCACATACATTATTATAGCTTATTCAAGTAGACAAACGCACTCTTCTGATTGGTTGTTTCTCAGAAGTTAAGCAGACAAACGCAGACTTCTGATTACTTGTTTCGGGTAACCATCGAAAAGTGGAGCCATCTACCTGTGAACCATATTTGCCCACGTTACGTTTGCTGTGATTGGTTGTTGAATCAGCCTTGCTCATATTTTCTCACGGCCAATATTAGTGACCTAGACACTGACGTAGATTAATGTCTACCAACTGGCTAGCAGCCTGCCCTCACCACAGTAGTAGTAGTAGTAGTAATAGATGTTGCTTATTGACAACTTCATGGAATCGCGATTGTTAGCTGAATAGTATATTCAGTCATTCATACATTTGATTTACTCAACTTTTGGGGTGTTGCAACAAGAGCACAAGAAACTAGCAGTATTTATACTCGATAGATGTCAACGATAAACTTAGCGCTTCTGCTAGGCTCTCTGGGCGAGATCTGGAGTAATAAGATATTTATTTGTAGACGCAACGTGTATACAACTCTGCTTATGATAGTAAGCGGCTAAAACTTAAATCAATATTTTAATTTTCAATGGCTGCAGAGGTGGAAGTGTTTATTTCTCAAGTCTGGATATAGTTTATGATATGAATATACAATAACCTCGCTGGAGAACGTTTCATCTCATTGCCTAACCTTCGGCTATCCTCCAGGCAATTAGAATGCTTTGTTTTTCTTTGATCTGGCCGAATTTTAATGTGGCAAAAAAATGTATGAATATAAAGTGTTTTTCCTTAATTAAAAAATTCCGTTTCCTGACAGTCACAGGCCAATCTTTGTTTTTTTTTGATATTGACGCGTGGCTCAGTGAAGCACAAGGCACCAAGGTCTTCGATGGGACACTAGCTAGTAATCAGTGTAATGCGTCTAGTAATATCTTTGCTGCAGACTGGACCTGTTAGTTAAGTTTGCATTCTAGCTGGCTCGTGACCACGGTGCACATTGATTTGATGATATTAGAAATAAAAATAAATCTTGTGCACTGTGGTAGAGTACAATTCCATTATGGGTAAAATTTATTGTAATAAAGTCTCACAGTGGTTTTATACAGTAATGTTTACTGATGACCACGTTTCGAGCACAATTCTCTTTACTGTTCATAATCATATCAAGGCACTACTCATACAACTTTCTAACTTCTCTTATATAATTCCATTATTTTTCATCGCGTAATTTGATTGGTAGTAGAATTTTCCATATTTCCGGTATGAGTGACGAGTCATTCCTATTGCATGTGTTGGGTGTAGACTGGATAAACAGGGATTCATTGGTCAACCTCTCTCCACCTACTTAGATTAGAATGTTAACCTTATTGTGTGGTTATGTGTTAATGCATGTAGTGCAATGCAGTGCTGAGTTTTTTTTCTAAATTACTTATCTTCTCGGGTGGGGTCAACTATTCTTACATTAGCTGAATTCTTATGTTCTGATAATCTGACTATCCCTGACCTACTAGTTTGACTCATCTATGTAGTTGATCCAACTCGCAGTCATTTCAGGGTATTTTGTAAATTATATTAATTTGTCTAATTGGGTCAAAACAAATTTTCCCCTAATGGAATTATATTAGATAGTTGGAGGCAGTTGTCAGGAAGCCTTGGTCAACTTGGGTTTCGTGCTAGTCGGCACTCACCAGTCACCAAGGCGTATCTGCAACCTTGAAGGAACTCATTTCCTTTCTGAAATTCGAACCCGCGTCACCCAGTGCTACAAGCAGTCTGAGACGTTACCAGTGAGCCATTCGGACTCTCTATTGACCTCCTGTGAGACTGTAGTGGGTACCTTGATTGGGCACTAGTGACTAGTGTGATGTATCTAGTCATTTCTCTAGTACAGATTGAGTTCTATCAGTCAGGCTTAGCAATGTGTCCACCATTCTAGGTAGCTCGCCATCACGGTGCACATTGATTTGATGATATTACATGTTTGAAGGCAAGTGGCAGGAAGCCCAGTTCGACCTAGGTTTCGTGCTAGTCGGCACCCACTAGTCAGCAAGGAATTGATAATCGTATGTAGTATTTCAGTTGATTTGTCCGTTGCGTTCAGTGATATTATTCCCACTCGGTCGTATCAGCTGTCGACGGGTTCCTATCAGCCTACGCATTAGGTTCGTATGGTATACGTTTACATTTCACCTGTAGAAATCTATCTCTTTCCAGGATTTCATGATGAGCTGTCATTAGTTAGAGAACCATTGGAAAATCTAGGAGTACAGGGCAGTTGTTTACGTTGTCCTAGTTTGAGACTCTTCAGCAGTACGCACTCACCACCAGGGTTAAAACCCAGGACCTTCTGGTCACAAGACTATCGAGCTCTTAGACCACTGAGCTACTGGGATCCGATCCAATGGCCCATGAATTCTAACGTCTCCTAATTCACGATATAGCGCGGCCACTAGCCAATGTCTTCGGCGAGTATTTGTCCTCTCATCCGACCTGCTGTACCTTACTGGTCACGACTTCTCACTAGAACCCCTTGTAACTACCTACCTGAATAGAGTCAGTCGCCAGTGAATTGGCAGAAGTTACAATTCATGGGCCATTGGATCGGGTCCCAGTGGCTCAATGGTCTAAGAGCTCGATAGCCTTGTGACCAGAAGGTCCTGGCTTCTAATCCTGGTTGTGGGTGCGTACTGCTGAAGAGTCTCAAACTAGGACAACGTAAACAGCTGTCTAGTACTCCTAGGTTTTCCAATGGTTCCCTAACTAATGTCAGCTTATGATGAGATCCTGTAACCAATCAGTCAAATCCTTACAAACCAATACTTGACTATCTCTTTCCACCTACTTCAGAAGATCAGCTACTCTTTTAAGTTATTCTTTAATTCCTGGTTTATAATACCGCTCTTTATTCCTAACTGTGTTTTATGTTTACTATTCTTTTTGCGTACCGAATGGAACTCATAAAACTTCGAGCTTGAGCTTCGTATTTTCAGTTGCGACGGTGTTTTTTTTACTATTTATAGAGGCTGGGCTCGCTGGTCCTAATCCCAACCTTCCCTCTTTTTCGTCGGATTTCCTACTGACTCACCGTGGTTTGGGAGTGTGTCGGCGGGGAATCGAACACGGATCAAGTGTGTGCTTCACACTTCATCTTTATGATTTTCGTTCTTGTGACTGTTTCTTTTTCAAATATATTTAATTGCTGTAAGTATATAGTGTAGTGATGTTGGAAGTGAATTTCTTTGGTGTTTTGTAAGCCGTATTCAAATCGATTTCAACAGTAGCTTTCTTACCGTATACAGTAGCTGCAATGTACAGATACACGTTTCACAAGAGATTTTAAAAACCTGTAGATCTATTTCTTTGGAGTACTGTATAACAGCAGTAGATGTTCTACAAAATCATAAAACAGTAATTTTAGGGGCAAAAAGACACTCATCAGGTTTGAGTCTTCACGTGCACTGAACATCCACGATACTCACAACTTATCAAGATATAATTTTCTTTCAAATATCTATGATACATAAACTTGTTCATGTTGTGAAGATCCAACATCATCCTTCTTGCTGAGAAAGTGCAGAGACGGTCAAGTGAAATTTGAATCTCTTCAGGTAGGGATGAGTTTATAAGATATCCTAACAAGTATGCTTCTTGTAGAATTGAGGCTATCACCTAATGGTATAAATAATGGGTTATTTAGGTAGTCAACATTAGACATTTGAGCGGCTTCAGAGTTATTGCTACACTTTAGCGGTAAGTGTCACTTCACAGTCATATCTAGGCTTCACTGTCAAATATACGAAACTGCATCATGCTGCAGTAGCTTTTGTCCAAGTGATCCTATGTCAGGTTGAGAAAAAGCCAGTGGTGGTCAAACCAAAATATCGCCTCATCACTCAATGCATTCCACAACATTTAGTTTAAGCTAGCCACATAGGGAGGTGTAGACTGCCTGCCAACTTGGTTGGGGGCCTGGGGATGGTAAAAACCAATAGAGGCTGGATATAATTGGTGATATGGTTCAAAATCGTTCTCGGTGATGGGGCAAGTGCATCCACTCCTTGTGACCTATTGTAACAACAGAAGACAAGAGCCAGGCAACAGATCGTTTATTAACGAAATCTAAAGCAATTAGTCCCTTTTATAAATTTTGATAGCGTTATTAGAAGACGGAGACTATCTGAAAAATGTGATGTATTAGCGCTATACATTTCGAACAATCTGATCTGATCAATATATATAGAAAGGTTAAATTGAACAAAGTGGGAGAAAAGGAATTAAGAATAATTAACACAAACATTTGGTAATCCAATCAAATAAGGATTACCAAGGTAGGTTAAGAGTAATAACAAACTGTTTTTGAATACACAAGGGGGGCTTAAGTGTATGAATAGCTATGGCCTTAGCGTATTTCAGTAAACGCCCTT